TGAGAGAGCTGCAATTTGACGTATGGGTTGTTGGGCCGGGCAAGTTTGCTCCTCGCAAAGATGTCGTTGACCCGCTACTATTACGCTAGACAGGATTAACCCTTCCGTCCGTCGTCGCCCAACGCGTACACGTCTATATACACATGTGTATGCCGTGGCTTGAACGCTGGAAGCGTGCACGGTACGCTCGTTAGCGGCCTTCGCCGAGTCCGCCGTGGAAACCCCTGAAATTTCCATATTTCGTCGTCGTGAGACCCGGCAGCGGGCCGGGATTTTTAGCGCTTCATCTGTTTGTCTCTGACTCAACTAGCAGGGCAGTTTCGTTCCGTGCGCACGGCACGGTCGGCGAACGCAATCGAGTTACCTGATGTGTCGTGCAAATCACGGAAATTACGCTAGCCGGAAAAGAGAGAGAGAAGGGGGCGGTGGGGGAGGGGAGAGAGAGCCATCCGTATGCTATCGCTGCGCGAGGAGCAATTAACGGGGAAAGTTGTACTTCATTTATTTATTCCGCGCAATCTGGCAATCGGAAAAGTTAATAGTCTCTTTGCGAACTCTTTGATCGTTTAGTATACTGAAGCCTTGAGGATGCAGGATTAACTGAAACTCTGTAAGAACTAATATGCTTGGAAAAATTAAATAATGAAAATTTGAGAACGAAAATTGAGCCAAAATTTCGCGCAATTACGCGAAATAAATGAAACGATTAACAAAATTTGGACAGCTTTGCCGATATTTTAACACGCATCTCTGCATCTTGTAGTGCTATTAACGGTATATTAGTCGGAAGGGATGTACTCTTATCTCGCTATTGGTTAATGGCAAGTAGCTGTGTACCACGTCAATTTGACTCAGGCTAACTACTACGTAATTTCATTACACTCGCGACGTCATCAACGTCTCGAAATTTACGCTCCGCAAGGCTGCGCATCCTTGTGTACCACTGTGCAGCACCGTAGCCGCGATTGTTGATGCTCCCCTAATGTTTGTATCTCATGCCGCGGGGTATCGAATAACTTCGTTACATTCGCGATATCGACACCCAGACGATACGTCACGGGCGCGGAATTACGGGTTCCCGCCTGGTGGCGTGGACCTCACCTTAATTGCACCTGTAATTAGCAATCCGTCGATACTTTTAATTTAACGTTACATCATTGCGTCCGGTGAAACTGGAATTACGTCTGCATTGTCCGTTATCAGTGGCGATACCGTAAGGCGATATCTCATCGAAACCTTGAAATTAGTATCCGCAGGGCCGCGCGCGCGCGCGCGTGCGTGCGTGCGTCTGTGTCTATTATCAACAACGACAGCCTGGTAACCAGGCGTGATGGTTAATGCTCGCCGTCCGTTTGTCAGGGCGGGCGTAGAGTATCGAGTAATTTCATTACGGCCACGCAACACGTCGACACCTCCCCGACGGCGTCCCTCGTGGATTACGAGGCCCCCCTGGCCAGCGAGCGGCGCAAAGGGCGGGGTAGGAGGGACCGGGCCGTGATTTCCCGGTCGTCGTCAGGCGCTGTCGGCGTTGGCTAGCGACGTTGACTAGCGGCGTTGACTAGCGGGCTAGTCACGCCGTGGCGATAGATAGACCGCGACAATGGTATCGGGCGAACGTCGGGCGTCTATCTCCCGTCGCATCGTTAGTCTCGTCGTTAGTCTCCTGGCGTACGCGCGCGCGGTGACCCTTAATCTGATCCCTGTGCCCCGCAGCAGCGGCGAGGGAAGCGCGGGGGCGATGGAGACAAACGACTCGGATCCTCGGCGTTCACGCCAACGCCGTCTCGCGTACACCGGAATCGGGTCGCTCGGACCGTCGCGTCGCGCCGGTTTCATTCCGCTTCTGAACACGAGCCCGGCGTGTAAACGGAAGCTCGGAATCGGCGACACACACGGGACACACACGGGACGTACACACCAAGTTGCGTGTCGACTTGCGATGGCGCGCGTCCCCCGCGTCCAAGGGAAACGGGATGTGTCGGACGTCGCCGGGACGTAGAGGCGGGTAGGCAGACGAGGGGGTACAGGACAGGGTGTATCTAGGGACGACGACGACGATGACGACGACGACGACGACGACGACGACGACGACGATGCGGTCGAGAAAGGGTGGGCGCGCGCGAATAGTGCGGTTCTGATTACTTCGGAGGGTCCCGCCGCCGGCGGATTTACGGATAGGCGCGTCGCTAGGGCTCAAGGGCTTCATGCTACCGAAATACATAAAAGCGGGAAAGAAGGAAGGGGGAGACTCCGTTGCCCGCGGAGAAAAGTGTGCCAGTGAGTAATTATTTTTTTCCTCTCATTTTTCTGCCTTTTCTCCGTGTATCCGAGGTATGAAATGCTTCGAAAGATGTAAAGATCGCGGGATTGTTTGAAATTAACCGACTCTCGAAACACGGGAGATGCAGAAAAATATATACCGACTCAATTTGATTTGCGCAAAATGACAATTAAAATCGCAATTAATTCCGCGGTTATAATAGTGGCTATAATTAAAAACGAGCCGGTAATTATTATTGTTATAGCGATAATTTGCAGCTGCGAATGTTTTACACCGCGCTGACGACTCCAATTAATTGCATCTCGCGTCGCCGCGCTTAAGAATGTGCGCTCGAGTAGATCAATATTTTGACAGATCAATAATAGGGTCTCGGGGAAAAATGGGGACGCGCACAGGGCCCCGCGTACTATAAATCCGTCACGGGATAGTTCCCAGTTGTATCTGACGCCCGCAAACACAACATTGCTTTCCATGCCCGCACATATATCTGTTTTCCTACGTTTTTCTGTTCGGCCGCGGAAGCGGAAAAATGCGGTATTGATCGAGTGAAAGCATTTTTTCCGCGGCGTGTCCGGGTCGTCTTTGATTTTTGATATTAGAAATTCTCATTACGTATCCCTCGTATTTTACTTGGCGCGCTCGCGCGCCACATACCCTCCCACGTACACGCATACAGTCCAGTTTTCCTCTACGATTACATCCCTGCCGCTCCCATTCGGTTTACTACGCCTTCAGGTGCAACCTGACGCCGTACATGCTAGATGGAATTCGATATAAGCGTCGCTTGAACACGGAATCATTTAACACGGAGGCGGTGGTAACTGAAACATTTTCAGCTCTTATTTCTCAAAGGTCTGATCTCCTTTTGCTTCTTACGCTTTGGAAAAAAAAAATATGACAAAAAAAGCCCTACTTGCAGTCGCGCTACGCGCGAGAGACACGAGATATTCTCGAGCCGTCTTTGACGACGCATCGCTATATAATGCACTCGGAAACGCGCCAGGCAATCGCGATATACTCGCGCGCGAATACAAGATTTAGCATGCACCTATACGTACATGTTTCCCTCTTCTAGCGCGCGTGAGCGCGCGTATTTGACTTCAAACCGCATAACTTAAAGTTTGCGAAGAAAAACGTATCGCGTAACTCGGCGCACTTATATCGAATTTGCTGGAAATGTAGACCGTATTACGTCACCATGGAAAAAGTTTAACCGGAGTTTGAAAGGTACGAGAAAGAGAGAACGAGGAGCGCGCGGCGGTGGTGAAGGGGGTAACTTTTCGGGCCCCATCCACGAAAGTCGCAACGATACAAGGCGCCTATCGTTGGAGTCCCGGGTCGATATCCCGTCCGTTTCCCACGGCTAGTGGAATGCTTAACTTTAAGTGCGGATGCTTTTACTCACTCGGCGTGGGAGGCGCTTAGACTTAATAGAATATCGATACTTTCAGTCAGTCACTCGATATCCCATAAGACACCGGGGAGTAGCCTCCTCTCCGGAAGTAGATGCCGGTACTTTGCTTGTGTGACAATCGAGGGAAAAAATAATATCGGAAAGAAATAAAATTCCGCGCGATTAATAAATATGTATCGGCCGTAAAAGGTAGACTGTAATACTTTTTCATTCACAATCAGAGGCGTAGCGAGCCTCGTGCGCGAGGAGGAGGCATTTCTATGGTTTTGATTTACGATTATTCCGCTCGCCAAGATGATTTTTATTCGCTCCATCCTTCAAGCCAGCGGCTCGCGGCTCGCCCATATCAAAAAGTAAGGCACTGCTGTCGAAGCTAATCGGTATCGAGGGCCAAGTATCGGCGCTCCGGTACTATCGCGAGCATTCCGTCCGCAACCTGCACTCGTAGTTTCGCCTTACGACGGTGCGTGGAGTGCGACTCTCGCACAGGCGCTTACGGAAACCACCCTCCCCTCGCCCGGCTGTCTCTCTCTCCTTCTCTCTCCCGCAGCCCTCTTCCGTTCGGGCTCGTTCGTACCGGGGTGCCCCTATCTCGGTCGCGCGCCGCTCCGACATCGGGCACTCTCATGCGCGCGCGTTGCGAACGACCGAGAGAAAGAGAGAGAGAGTGAGAGAGAGAGAGAAGGAGAGCAAGAGGGGGGTTAGTGTACGCGGGTGCCGCCGCCGTCGCGCGAGGGTGGGAGACGGCGCGCTCGCTCGCTCTAAAGCCCGTAGGCCGCGCCGCGCTGCCACTACTCCGCACACGCGATCACCGTGGGGCACGGACACGCTGCTCTCTCTCACCCTGAATGCGCCTCCTCGCCGCCGCCACCCGCTATTTTCGCGCGACGCGTGCTCACCGCACGATCGGGACGCCGTGTGCCCCGACGCGAGTGTCGCGGGAGAGCTAGTGAGTGCGCCGTGCCCCAGTGTCTTCGGTCCTCGGTTGGAAACTTGTAACGCGAATTGGTGAAAAGATTTGGGGGGGGAAAAAAAGAAAAAGAGAAAAGAATTATCGCCGGACGGACCATCGGCAGCGCGTCGCGAATCCTTCGCGAGTGAGTTTTGAATTGTGAACCACGCACCTCGTGTCGGAGAGGCTGGATTGTGCGCGATAAGCAAAAACCGGAGTACAGTGTGCCGCAGCGGTTGATTTTCGATCGACCCCCCCTCTGCCCCCTTCTGCATCCCCCCCGCGCGGCGATCCCGTGTGTGAAGCCACGTTGTCGCGGTAACTTCGAAACCACTTCTTCTTTTCTTCTTCAGAGTTGAACGATTCCGCGCGGCAAGAAGTCGGCCTGGATCATCATGGATTGGACCCGGGGGATCGGCCTGACCGGCGTGCTGTTGTTCTGCTTCGGCTGGATCGGAGGTAAGTGGCAACTGTGTTTTGTGCTCGTCGTTTTGTTTCTTGTCACTTGAATCTGCTGCGCTGACGCGCATGAATCAGGCCTTTGTCAAACGTTAACGTACAAATGCGCGCGCGGGAGTGAGAGAGAAAGAGGGAGAGAGAGAGAGAGAGAGAGAGGGAGAGCGAGAGAACTCGCTCGCCCGATTCGATTAATCGCCGACGATCCGCGTCGGGAATGCGCGGCGTTTCGGACATCCGCTTGCCGGGCCTCTGACCGTCGGCGCGACGCTGCTTTGCTTTTGTTCGCAAACGCGCGACGTCGATGGCCTATTTGCGGCCCGCTATTATGAACGGATGCACGGGCCGACGATAACGCGCGCACGTCGAGCCGCTATCTGAGGATAGCATCGGAAATTGTTTCAACACGCGGATCATGGCGCTTATTATTTCGGCAGTTCGTTTGGCTGAAATAAGCGTCTGCTGGATTAGCGCGATAAATTCTACATAGGCACTGCGGAGGCCGCTGCTACATCACGCTCATTATCCGGAAACTTTCGCGATATTTCCCAGCTGAACTTTGGAAATTTTTTAACTTTAATTAGAATAATCGCGTCGATATTCGCACCCAATTTTTTCGCCGGCCAAAAGTGCCGGGGCGAAGTTTGTCGGAGCCTATGCTATTTCCCCGCACCTCTGTTCTCGGGAATTAGGAAAGTTATGAAATAGGAGGGATATATACTTTTGAAGGACCGGGATCGGGCGTTTTCGAGGATATTACTGATTCTTGCCGCACTAGCCGTTTGAAAGTAGTCATACATTTATTCTGCCGCACCGAGAATGACGTTCTATTGGTAATAACTAAAGTGCTGAGTTTCTGAATTTTTAAGCAGAACCGAGTGACTTATGCATTCGAGTTCGCGGACTGTAACTGTTGAATACTTAAGCGTTGGAAATGGCTTAAGAAGCGATAAAATACTTTTACATTTTAGTGCTACAATCGAAGAGCACGATTATTGCTAATTAAGTCGAGATGATCTTTGTTTAAAAAGCAAACGGTGAAATTTGTGCTATAAAATATAAAGCAGCTAAAACGGGCGTCGAAATAATATAGAAGGGGAGTATTTTAAACTTTCGCAGATGTCTCTCCGCTTATTGAATTTGAAATGATCGCTTAAACTATTTGAAGCTCGTATTTCTTTCTACTGCTGGGAGATAAAATGACAGTCGTCGAAATCCTTTAAGATTTTGTAAAAGTCCAAGTATCGAATCGAAATTGTTTAAGCAAAAAAAAAGGGATTTCACCGGCTCGCGAAACGTCTCGTTTTTTTTTTTCTCGTGATACACGTGAAACACACGAGCATTCTCGATGCATTATGAGAGAACAACGCGAATCAGAAGAGGTATATTTAGTTTACGGATGTAAAACGCGTGAAAAAATACATGACGGTGGCGGTGGCTACGCGGCGCGGATAAAAAGTATGTTCTCGCTTTTTCTCCCTTTCGTCCTATCCCCTCCCTCCCCTCTCTCTCCCCCTCCCCCTCTCCCCCCGGACACTCGGCTCCGGCCTGCGGCGTTTTTCCCGACGCTCTTCAATTCGCGAAACGATCGCGGCATACGAGATATGCATTTCCGAGAGTAGTCGCGTCCCATCTCTACATGCTCATCCCTTTCCACTTCCGTCCCCGTCGCGCCCTCGCGCTTACACGCTCTCCCACGCCACTCATTCCGAAACTCATTTCGCGATATGGGATAAACAACGGCATTGTCGGAAAACACGAATGAAGCTCGAACGTAGCTGCGGCCCCCGCGGCACTACCGGTACGATCCAATTACCACCGGCGGTTCAGTCGCGATTGCATTCCGCGATGCTTAATTTAACGGGCTTTCGATGCTGTCGCTGATTAAGTATGGATACGACGCGATGCTTTCTCAAAGAGTATATATATATATATATACACGACGTCAATAACGTCTCGACGCATAAAGTTACATTAGTTTCAGGCAACTCGAGGCGCGCGCATCGTATTTTAGTTATTTATAACTGACAGTCAAAATATGGAACCATATATATATTTTTATTGATTACCTCATTGAACGAATTATTATTTATTATTCAAGTTGCCATTTAATCTTTCACACATCTCAAACTGTCAAGGACAGTTTTAAATGCGAAAATGTTGAGATGCGATGCGCCAGCCTTGAGTCGCCAAAAGTTGAGTGAAATTTTACGTATTAAAATACTTATACTTACAATTAATGACAAACGCGATGCAAACAACCCGAGAAAAAATGGTGTAATACGATCAGATGTAAATATATATAATTAGTTATGAAAAGATCTGATAACACATGTAATTTTATATGATCATATAAAATTCAGATCTTTTCATAACTAATATAATCGTATATATTTGCATCTGACCAATTACACCATTTTTTCTCAACAAGTGATATGCATCTTTGAAATATTTAGAGTGTCGAGGGATATTTAAAACCGGAAATATTTTTATTATTTCCGTAAGGGATTTTTAACATCTTCCTCTATGATAAAATCGATCTTCCAGCTAACATGAGAGATAAAGTGTCGGTGATTAAAATACCCCGTATCGGTAGCAGAGTATCGACTCGCTTGAATAGCATCCCTCACGGTTCCTTGACTTCGCTCATCGCGCTCTCCCCCCGGGCTAATAAGGGCAAAACGGTAGGTCGACGGGGGGATTGCGCGATCCTCGTGCGAGATATCGATGGACGGGAAAAAAAAAATTTGTCGCGGAGATCGATAAGAACGCGGGGTGGCGGGCGCATACGGCCGGGTTTCGCAGCAGGCCACGTACGTTTACCGTGTATGAACTTCAATTTCGTGATGGAAGTGGATTAATACAATTTAATGGCGCCCCGGGAGAATTATATGCGCGCCGACATCTCGTACCTCGATCTTCCCCCACGCGAATACATGGGGTAGTAGACGCGTATCAGTGTGCGCGTACAGAGGTCCTCGAGGTGCACATCGGGTGCCGCGTAGGGGTGACACCACTACACTCGGTATGTTTAATGATAATGGAGATAATAATAATTTAATTTAACACTCCGCGGGAGAAGGAGGTCGTGCGCTCTCCTCGCATTGAACCCTCCAGCCTCCCCTCGAATTCCTCCCTCGCGGAAGTGCGGTATGCAAATATTAAAGACTCGCGTCCGTTCCGTCTTCCTGTTTCCCCGGCATCTCTCAGCTTTCGTCTTAATCTTTCCTGTTATTTATCTTGGCTGTTTGTTTCGAATCTTTTCCGTCTATTTCGCCATAGCGCTTTATCTCTCATACTGCAACGCGCCGCGTAATTTTTGTTACGATCCTCGAGAGACTCCGAAACGCAATTAATCTGCAATCTGCATCTCCGCTTGCGTATCTCCTCCTTCTCTCGTTAAACGGAGTATCGCTTGTCGTTGATGTTATTTATTGTACGTATTAAAAAGTCATAACAGGTATAGATGTTTTTTTTTTATTTATAATGACAGAAGTCGTCTTTATCATCCCACATTTTCCGAGATAATTATTCGCGTATGCTCTTTAGAGATCGAGATGATCTCGGAGTATTAATAAATTGGATTTTCCATCCTTTTCTCTCTAGCTACGCCTTGCGTAATAATAATAATAGGAAGACCATGCGTACCATTATCTAATGTATCCTTTTATGGGCTGCTTTCATACGTAGCGTTTGCGCTCTAATTTTATGGTTTTCCCATGTATAGCATAATATTTCTAGCGCTTTGAAAAACTCGTGTCTAGAGCACTCGGTAAATATCTTTCTCTTTCGTTTCTATATTTTTCTCTGTCTCCCGCTTGGCTGATTCACGCAAGGTGGTTATAAAAAATGCGCGTGTACGGCCGCGCTTATGAGAAATGCAAACGACGTCGGAAGATCCGTGGAGCGACTGTCACGGTTGCGTTCATTTCTGCTTCTATTTCCATACGTGTACGTTCTCGCGACGCTGGAAAATACGAAGTCGCATCGCGTGGCTCCGAACAGAAGAGAGTGCGCGTACAAGAGACGCGTAATACCGTGTTTAACCGCCCCCGCGCCTTTAACCGGCTGTGCGCCCGCGCCGCCAATTTTTCACTGCCGTATTTTCTCGACGACTATAGATATAGCCGCGCATATTGCCCAATGTCCGCGACGCGATTCCAAATAAATCTGAATTTCCCCCTCCTCACTCGAATCGTCTATCGCGCGATAAATCGTCTCTTTTGTACGATGGATTTTTATAATAGATATTAATCACATGTAATTACTCTTTTTTAACTTTAATTCAATGCAATTTAATTCAATTTAATTTTTCTGTTGCAGAGATATTTTTATTATCGTTGTAATAATAACAAAAATAATACCGCAACATATTTGTTTCAATTCGGAAAAATATTGATACTTGCAATACTCCAAATTCAAGTGGTGCTCGTAATTTTAATCCACCATCTATATTTCTCAATCACTCAGATAGGTATATGAAATTCATTCATTAATTAACTCGCCGTCCATGAATACCGTTTTCGTGCCCGCTCGGGTTAAGCAAATACAGCCGGCACGTCGCACATTTCGGTGTGTTCTGTTTGTACGGCTGCTGGATCGGCAAGGTTGAAAGCCGCGACCGCGGTGGCGCATAAAGCGACGCGGGACGGAGGGTGGCATGCGGGAGTGAAAAATCGGGTATGTCGGGAAGCGCGTTAACGGCGCGCTGCGGCGACGGCATAGTATCGTTGTTACTGTTGTTACTATCGGCGAAATTACGATACCCAGCGGGGGGTGGTCGACTGCGGCGAACTGTGATCCCCGCGCGATAGTTTCCAGAAGTAACGCGCGCTATTCCGCGCTTCCGTGCGCGCCCCGCATTAACCTCGCGTACGCTCGCCGCTCATCAAATCGAAAAATCCGGTCGATGCGCGATTGCGATGCTACGTGCGGTGCTACGCCGAATTCTATCGCGACCGGAAATTGCTCGAGCGGCCGGCGAGAGACGCTCGACGAATCTG